TGGGTGCGCATTACCCACGGGAACGCATTATACACAGCAAAATACGGTAATTGTGATTAAAATTATAGAATTATATTAATTCTCCTCACTACTATTTTTCTGCTTCTCAGTAAAATTTACCAAATATAGTTTTTGAGAGTGAGACTATTTGTGTTCATACATATTAGAAGGGATGATGAAAAATTTTAAGCCTCTTGAGGTTAGTGAAGGCCATTTTGTTATCTGTAATACTGGGTCCAGTTGTGTAAGTGAGGTCTGATCAGATGGACTGAACAAGATTTGGGGGAAGAAAAGCTCAAAAGTTTAGAACTGGATCTATTTACATTGGTAGTGCTTCTTGTTATTTTTCAAGGGAAAATATGATGCAATGAAAACTAAACAGGCTTTGGTAGTTTAATTTAGGAATCCGTATGTCATTGTTTCTATAGAAAATAGTCTTCTGAGTTATAAAAATGGACAAAAAATAGACTTAAGAAAAGAATTTTGGCAGGTAGCCAGTTTTGGAGTTGGATATTGCAAAATTTCTTACCTGTGTGTATATATATAGCTTCGACACTCCATTTAAACATCTGTGCAGCTTTAGAGAAAGGCTATTATTCTATTTCTATTCCTGTGGACAATTCTTTCTTATCTTGTCTCAAAGGCCTGGCACCTTCCCCTGCTCCTTTTCACCAAGAGAAATAATTTTATATGTGGCCTTTAGTTTTCTGGATCATTTGGAAGTTTTTTCAGCCTTCTCTTCATTTTCTTCTGCAATATATATATATATATATATATATATATGTATATATGTATATATATATATATATAATGTATTTTAACTATGTTTTCATTTTTTAAAAATTGGAAGAAAAATAGTTGAGACTCCCACTGTGGTTGACTTATGTCTTTATATTTTGACTCTTTATTGGAGGGACTCATTCTAATCTTTCCCATATCACCCCTCTCCTGTGAGTGAAATATTGTATGCTTACTCGATATGTACATTCATATGTGTTTACACACGTATGTATATATGTATACATGTAAATCTCCCTCCTTCTTTCCCCCTTCCTTCTTCCCTTCTTTTCTCTCTTCATCTAGCTAGCTATCATCTATAAAACTCTTATTAGTCATTATCTTCAGAAACTCTTTGAGAGAAAACTATTGCCACTTTGATGAAAGTCACAAATCCTTTAGAACTAAAAACCAAACTACATATTTAACTGGCTCTTCAACCAACCCAGGACTAAACTCAGTTTGGTGTCAT